GCGTTCCCACCTTCTCTCTCTTGTTCCTCTCCTCTCTCTCTCTCTCTCTCTCTCTCTCTCTCTCTCTCTCTCTCTCTCTCTCTCTCGTGCGCGCGCCTAAGTGTGTGTGTATGTGTGTGTGTGTGTGTGTGTGTGTGTGTGTGTGTGCACGCTCACGCACTCTTCCTTTTGGATTCCTTCCTTCTGCCTGGTGTCCGAAAGGCACAGGTGGTGAATGGCTCAGGCTACAGTTTCCAGGCTGGTGGCAGGGCTCTCCAAGGGTGAGAAGGGAGGAAGTGGCATAATTTTGTGGAACAAAAGAAAACACAAAACTCCCAGCTTCGGGGTTCCCAACAAGCTCTACCTTCTCTCCCAGAAGCCCCTGCCTGGAAAGTTACCAAACCAATCCCTCCTTCCAGCGCCCCCCCCCCACGTTTTGGTTTCTTCTCCATTGAAGAGGGAAATACCCACCACCCAGATCCTCTGCTGTCACCTCCCTTCTCTCCCTGGCTTTGGGCAGAGCTGCTGAGTTCCTTGCCTGCCACTCAGAGAATGCAATTGTTCTTAAAGAGCCTCTTTTGCTCTGAAAAAAATCACAATTTTAATTAAAAAAACATTTATAGACAATTCATTTAATTTTAGTGCCGTCTTGTTTTCCCTTCTTCCCCAAGGGCCTCCAGCAAGCTGCCTTGGTCTCTGCTGAGGCCCCTGTCCCAGGGAGGAGGCAGGTGACCTCTGTGACAACAGCTGGCTCTGCCTGGGAGAATGTGGGAGAAGCTCCTGAGAGTCTGAGGAACAGCTGGAAGGGGGCTGGTGGTGAAGGCATCTCATACTTGGGCCTGCACAAAGTGACATCCAAGTTGTGTCAGAACAGAAAAGAAAAGGAGAGAAAACTTCTCACCAAACCCTGGTGGTGTGTTTGGTGGTGAGGTTTGAGAAACTGTGGGAAGTCACTTGGGGAGCTGAAAAGGGACACAAGCTCCTATCACCCCTGTGGCTAATCTTGAACCAGAATGTATTCCTAATAAGCATAGATTTAGCAGCTCTTTATGGTTTACAAATCACATTTCACATGCCTCCATCTTTTATTCCTAATGACGACTTTGGGGGGTCCAACGCAAATTTTTTTTTTGGTACTGGGGATTGAACCCTGGACCTTGTGCTTACAAGGCGGCCCAGTCCAATGCATTTTAAAGATTCATATACAGGATTGGAGCAAATTACTTGCTCAAAACCACAGGGCCTGTCCAACCACAATATTATCAGCTCCTTCTAGGGTCAAGGCCTCCTCTTTGTATTTTTTAATTTCTCTCCTTTCTTTACCCATCCCTCTCTTTTTGCCTCCCTCCTCTTTCAGCCCACCCTTCTTTCCTTTCTTCCTTCCCCATCTGTGGTGCCTCACTCATGCTACTTGAACTTCTTAACCCATTGGCAGCCACATCTGCTAACTCTCATTTCTAGCCCTTTCTACTATGACAGCTGCTAAGTTCGTTTGGTGCCTTCATCAAGAGGTCTGAATTTCGCTCTTAGTCCTAGTTTCTTTGCCGCAAGTGTCCAAACTTTCTTCTACTTCCCTCAAGAATGGCACCTTTAGACTCCTTACCTTTTTTGGCCTGATACTTTCTTTAAAAATTTTAAAATTGAGGTATAGCATCAATATGGTAAACACCCATGTGGTAAAGAGCATAGAGTTTAAGGGTACAAATTGATGCATTTTTTTACAAAAACTTGGATAGCTGCAGTAAAACCCTTTAGTTTCTCTCTCCCCCTAGGCCGCATGATGAAAAAATGTCTTTTGCCAGTTTGGAAAGAGATGGTAGGTACCTTCTTGGTGTGCTATTGTCCCATAGAAATCCTTTCCAGGAAGTCTTTCTAAGTTTCCCCGAAGGATTTAGAAATCACGTATTTCTTCCAATCCCTGACACACTGTTAGGGTTTCTCAAGGTACTAACCAAAGACCACCTGCTTCAGAATCACCTACACCTTAGTTAAAATGCAGCTTCCTGAGCCTCAGCCCCACCTGAGCTACAGAAGCTATGGCTGGGGCTCAGGAATGTGCATTTGTAACAAGTTTCCAAAGTGAGTCTCAGCCACACTAACATTTGAGACGCTCTACACTAAATGACAAACTTCTTAAACATTGCATTCTCCAGCAGCTGGCCCAGGGCCTGGTGTTAGGTAGGAATACAATGAATGTTTGTTAAACAAATTAATCCATCTTTTCTGACACAGTTTAGAGTTTCTTGGATTACATCATACTATTGTAATTTGATGCCATTTTTTACTCTGGGAAATCTTTACATTTCAGAGTCTTTTTTTTTTTTATTATTTGAAGAGCTTTTATTTTGATAGAGGAGGAGAGGAAAGAGGAATCAACTTTGGTGGCTTCTCAGGTCTCAGGGAAGGTCTTCTATGAACTCAGTTTGGGCCACCCTGTGGATGGGCCACGCCTACAGACAGGGCTGTCCCTGGCAGCTTGGGAAGGGCAGGAGGAGAGCTCTGCAGGGTTGCCAAATGGCACTCATGTGCACACCCTTCAAGGTCAAATCCACAGGCTTCTCTTGGAGGAAACTCAGAGCTGTGAAAGGAGCAAGACCAGAGACCCCAGCATGAGGTAGACATGGAAACTAAAAATTCCTTGAGTAGTCTGATTTATAGTTGATGCAAAATAAACTTTCCACCTAGAAACACATCTGCTGGTCCTCTTACCTGGAAACAAAATAAACATTGTGCTGTGTGGTAGCATTGTATCCATTCTTAGAAATAAATCACATCAGTTGGGGATTTAGCTCAATTGTTCCACAGCCTGCCTCCCAAGCACAAGGTCCCAAGTTCAATTCCCAGTATCAAAAAAAAAAAAAAAAAAAAAAAAAGAAATCACATTATATGCATGTATGCATATATATATGTACTTTTTCATATAAAAGTTTTTCTTCATATAAAAGTATTTTTCATATGAAATTTTGTGATGCATTAGATGCACAAAGGAAAGAACAATTCCTCTTGATGCTGCCCTCTGTGTGTGGGCTCTGCAGTCAGAATGACTTAGGGTCAAATCTCAGCTTCACCACTGAATACGTTGATCTCAGGTAAATTACTCAGCTGACTGCTCTAAGCCATTTCCACGTATGTTGAATGAAAATAATAATGGTTCCTTTTTTTTTTTCTTGGTACTGGGGATTAAACCTGGGACTTTGCTGGGGAACCACTGAGCTAAAACCCTGGCCCAATAATGGTTCCTGATTCATAGAATTGTCATGAATATTTAATTAAATAAGACACATATAGCATCTAGAGTAAGCCTAGAATATACACTCAGATGCTAGCCATTTACTATGTGACCGTGTCCATATGGGAGCTCATGTTCTGAGACTCTCTGAGCCTCAGTTTTCCCATCTGTAGAATGAAGAGGTTGGCCTAAAAGTTCTTTCCCAGAAAGGACTTAGAAGGTAGTTCAGCCAGTTATGGAAGTTACTCCCTTTACTAATAATAGCTGGATACTATAGTCATTAGTAAGCATAGTGTTTTTATCAAAAATGATAAAT